TGAGATATAAGCTGCAGCCAGTGAAACTTTATAATGTGCCTGTAGAGGTGACAGGCAGGGGTTAGGGGGAGTGGGAGTAGGGACAGAATGTGGGAACACTGGTGGAGGAAAGGTGAAACTAGTGGTGGGATCAGTGTTGAAATTTTAAATGACTACAACTGAACTATCAATAACTCTATAAATCACGATTCTTTAGTTACATAAAAATTATTTTTAAAAATTTTATATCCACATAATCGTACTGTAGTGCCCACATTTTGAAAAGCATTAAAATAAAGACTGCTGGGGTCGGAGCGATAGTACAGCAGTTAGGGCTCTTGATTTGCATGCAACCCACATGGCTTAATCCCCATCACCCCTGTGTGGTTCTCCAAATCCACCAGGAATGTTTCCTGAGCACAGAACCAGGAGTAAACCCTGAGCACCATCAGATGTGACCCAAAAAGCAAAAAAGTAATTACTGAGTTTCCAGTTCCCTAATAATATTCACTGATTGCTCAAGAACAATAAAAAGGTGAATCTTTCTTTAGGGGATGTATGTATTCCTCAAAAAATACATGTAAAGTTGAAATCCACTCAAGAAAATCACTTCAAATGAAGGAAGAGTCAGCTGACACTGATGTCATTTCAAGTCATGGACATCTGAAGCTAAAGAAGATGATTATGACCTGTTGCAGAACCCTAAGTTACTCCAGAGATTCCTAGAACAGTAGTTTTCAACCTTTTTTTTTCTTTTTTTTTCTTTTTGGGTTGCACCCAGCAATGCTCAGGGGTTACTGCTGGCTCTGCACTCAGGAATTACTCCTAGTGGTGCTTGGGGAACCATATGGGATGCCGGGGATTGAACCTGGGTTGGCCGTGTTGCAAGGCAAACGCCCTACCTACTGTACTATCACTCCATCCCCCTTTCAACCATTTTATACCTACATAAATACCTATTTTCAGTTCAGTGAAATAGGAGAAACAATGGAAAAATATGACACTGACACAGACTCATCAAATCAGACAGCACTGCCCTACTCTATTCATTCCATTACACACTCCCTGAATATAGTATTAAAAGGAAATATTTTAATTAGGGATGTGGCTCAGTGGTAAAGCATGGTCAAAAAAAAAATCCCTGGCAAGGTCAAAAAAGAAAGAAAGCAGAAAATTCAAAGAGGAGAGGCAGGAAAATCTCTGCAGATCTGCATCCCACTGGTTGAAAACCACTGTCCTCGAGAACCCTCCAGGTGTGGCTCCCCACAACTATGCCGTAGGAAATGCCATGTTTGCAGAACTCACAGACTACCAAGGATGACAAGAACAAGAAGGGAAAGAAATGTGACTGAAAGCAAAGAACAGTCAAGCTTACCTCGGGGGGTACATAGGGTTGGATGGGATATAGGGTTAGACATATTATCTATAACAATTATTGTCACTGTCACTGTCCTCCCATTGTTCATCGATTTACTCATCAATTTACTCGAGCGGTTCCAGTAACATCTCCATTTTGAGACTTGTTGTTACTGTGTTTGGCATATCAAATACGTCATGGGTAGCTTGCCAGGCTTTGCCTTGCAGGTGAGATACTCTCTGTAGCTTGCCGAGCTCTCCGAGAGGGGCAGAGGAATTGAACCCGGGTCGGTCAGGTCGGCCGCGCACAAGGCAAATGCCCTACTACTGTGCTATGGCCTAAATAATACTTAGAAATTTTTTTTAAAAATATTTTTTACAGGGGCTGATAGTACAGCGGGTAGGGCGTTTGCCTTGCATGTGGCCGACCTGGGTTCGATTCACAGCATCCCATATGGTCCCCTGAGCACCACCAGGAGTGATTCCTGAGTGCAGAGCCAGGAGTAACCCCTGTGCATCGCCGGGTGTGACCCAAAAAGCAAAAATATACATATATATATATTTTTTACAGAATCAGATACTTAAAGATTAAGTGCCAATCAATCCATCTATAAGCCAAGCAAGCATGTCACATTTTTTATAAATTATAATTTATTTGCATACCAACTGTTCTTAGAATTAAGGAATTCAAAACCTAGATTCCTTAGAGGATGAGGAGATAATACAGTGGGTAGAGTGATTGCCTTACACACGGCTGACCCGGGTTCAATCCCAAACATGGCATATGGTACCCCACCCACACCAGAAGTGATCTAGTGCCTGAGCACCACCAGCTGTGAACAACCACCCCCCAAAAAAAAAAACTAGATTTCTTAGAATTAAGAAATTCAGGGTATGGAGAGATAGTATAGTAGGTAAGGTGCTTGCTTTGCACATTGTTGACTCAGGTTTGACCCCAGCATCCTATATAGTCCCCTGAGTACCACCAGGAATGATCCCTGAGCACAGACACAAGAATAAGCTCTGAACACAGCCAGGTGTGACCAAAAAAAAAAAAAAGAATAAGAAGGAATCAAAAGAAACTTAAGATTTATCCATGATCCATAGAGGGCTGTGATAGGGCTGGAGATGTGGTTCAGTATTCAAGTGTGTGCCCTTCAAGCAGGAGACCTTGGTTTGAACAAAAACAGAAAAAATCAAAAGAGGGATGTAATTTAAAATACCAGTTATTTTAGAGTTTTTTTCCTATTCACTGCACTTATTTGTATTTATCTAGTCACATCAATGCATCTATCACACAGCCCTCTCTAGTCACGTGGTGCTTAGTAAAACTGCACTAACCAATCCAACTTTAATATTCAGAGCCTGAACTTGCATAACTAGTGTTATATCAAAATCCTGTCAGATATCCTTGCTTCTTTTCATTTGCTGATCCAGTGAAGGTACTACTCTCTCTCATGTTCAATTACAGTGAGAAGTTATCTATGTCATATGTAAAGATGCAGGTTATACTTGTGCCTCCACAATTTACTTCACGCTAGGTTAATTTCTCAACTGAGACCAGAAAAATAATTCAAGGGCCTAAGTGCATGCTTTGCATGTAGGAGGTTAGGGTTAGGTACTAACACAACATGGTCCCCCAGCCCTACTCCAGTGCCACACAGGCAAAGAGCTAGGTATGGTCCAAAAACTAAAAATAAGTAAGAAATAAACATATTCTCTATTTTTCAATTGCATTCTGTTAATGGAAATAATTATACCTAACTATAGATCTATTATGAGGAGCAAATGAAAAAAATAATGTGAGATAAAATAGCTGCTAGTACATTAAAAAAAATCTAGATTATGACATTCAGCGTCATAAATTTTTGCACCTAGTGCTAGGTAAAGCTAAAGAGAAAGAGACTAAAGGTATTCATAAGCATCATTCTTTCGATCATTCTTTCATCCCTTTTAAGAGACATTATTTCAATGCTTTATTTACCAAATAAAAATTAAGATTACTTTTCCAAGCAATGTTTTTCTCTTCATCAGTTCTGTTCACATAATGATATACCTATTACTATAACACAATTAAAATCAATATCCTAAGAAGGTGAAGAATCACAAAGACACTGAAAAGTCTATGCTTTGGAATTTGTTGGCTCAAAGAATGACTTGCTTAAGCTTAAGTAAGGCCTTTTAGTCTTCACATTTTAAGGAACCACATGGCTTACAGCTAGAGAATTTAAATAGCTAACACAAAATAAAGAAATTTAGAGAAAAATCATTCATTTTCACCATAAAAGGATTTATGATGACTAATACTAAAATAACCAGTTTCAAAATACATGCAGTTCAGAAGTTCAAAATTTTAACACAACCATGTAGATTTATCATAAAAACAACAGACATAAATCAGCAATCTTAAAAGCACAAAAGGAAACTGCGAATCATTCAGTTTTTTTCTCAGTGCAGACTTTTAAAATGGAAATGAGCAAGAAACCTTTGTGACTAACACAGCAATGAGAAATTTACTGAATGTGAAAATTATGCACTTATAAAAATAAAAACGCAACTGGAAAGCTGTCATGTTGTCCTTTATTGATTTTTAAATGCATAATCTATTTAGCCATCCTAAACCAAATTTAAGAATTAAAAGTAGTAATCGCTCTAAAAAAAATTCTGAAAGCAAATCACTCTCTCGCTCTATCGCTCTTTTCTCTCTTTCGCTCTCTCTCTCTCACACACATACACACACACACACACAACTGCTTACAAAGTACTTGCAAATAAAACAGGTTATTTCAAGGCTATATGGCAGCTAAAGTGAAAATACCTAGTAAAAGAGACAGCTACCATTTCTCTACAAGCCTGAGTAAAATATCCAAGAACTTCAAGAACTCAAATCTGAAAGGCTAATGTCAGGTCAAAGTTGTCTCAATGACAGGAAAGCCAAGAGACGCCAGGTGACTAGATGTAAAGTTATCGAAAATCTTCATACATCCAACCGAACCCCAACGGCATAGGGAGTCCAGATTCAAAGGATGGAAACATAATTACTAAAAATACTTTGGTGGGGGAGGGGGAAACCGAGATTAACATGATACAATGTACTGAGAATCTCACGATTCCGGCTCAATCTGTATTTAAGTCATTCGCCAACACTTTTGAAGGATGTCAGTAACATGGATTCCCAAAAGACTGGTTTAAATCTGAAAACGAGTCAAGTGCGCGTTCTACTTGAACGCTTAGGTTCTTTATGCTGCAAGCCAACCCCGCTTCTTCATATTAAAGATCCACTGCCTCTCTTCCCAAAGATCTCATAATAGACACTCTCTGCTGGTGATTAAAATATTATTTTTAATCTCTGCATTACCTCACAGCTAAAAATGTCAAGATACCACACCCAACATGTCTTTTGCGCCCCCACCCCCCACCCCGCCCCGTGGAGGGGGTTGGGGGACGGGGAACAGGGGAGTGAAGACGTGAAACGAGACAGAAACAGGAAAGGTGCTTTCCCCTGCAGGATCTCAGGTCCAGGCGCGCAAGTCCCCGCCGTCCCGGGGCCCCTGGCCAGTGGTCTGGCAGGGGGCTCGGACAGACAGGCAGGCCGCGGCCTCTGCGGGGCTCCCTCCCTCGCCACCCGCAGGGGCAGTGGCCCAGTCGCGCCGCCGAGTACTCACCGGCCGCAGCGCCGAGCAGCAGGACGGCGCACACGAGCGGGGGCACCCCCCGGGGCCGCGGGCGCGACGGAGTCATCCCCGCGCCGAGCCGAGCAGCAGCGAAGCCGAGAACCGAACGCCGGGAAGTAAACACCGGGCGGAGAAGGGCAGCCGGCGGGCTCGTCCGCTCGGGCCCGATTACAGTGCAGTTTGAAAGGACAAATGGCAGATGCGGGGACCTGGCTGCAGAGCTTTCATGCCGCTACCCAAATTCCCTTCACTTCTCGCCCTCGCGGCCGGGCGGGTTCCTTCGCCTAGAACGGGGTGCCTCGGCCCCCCCAGTTGAAGGCATGTCCGTGGGAAGCAGCCGGAAGACCTTGCGGAAAGCCCCACAGTTATTTCCCTCGTAGTTTCACGATATCAAAAAAATAGCCAGGTCTGGGAGAAAACATAGCCGGGATGCCGAGGACTGGAGAGCGGGGATCCGAGGGGCGCGCGAGGATCAGAACAAGTTCCCGACTGCCAGGAGGGGCGAAGCCGGGCGGGAGGCGGCGGCGGCGGCGGCGGCGGCGCCCGGCGGCCCGAGTGGCATCGCCGGGCGCTCGGGGCGGGCAGGATTCCTTTTTCTTTTTTTTTTTTTTTTAAAGTTTCACTTCGGTGCTTCTTTCACTCCGATCGCAAGCACGAATCCTCCTCCTCGACTGGATCGCAAAAGGTGCCTGCCCCCATGGGCGACTGCACCGCCTTCACGCCTTCGCCGAACAATCCTGCGTGGGGTCGGCGGCGCCGGGCCCGAGGGCTGAGGTGCGGTGGGGAGCGGGGGGAGGGGAGGGTCCGCAGGCCGGGCCCCGAGCTCCCCGAGACTGCGGGCGCAGGGGAGGTGCCGGGAGGTTGCCCCTTCCAGCCCTCCCGGGTGCGCTCCTTTCTCTCGCGCTCCCTTTTCTTTTTTTTTTTTTTCCTCCCCTATCGCTGCCGCTCGATCTGGCCGGAGGTAAATTCCACCGTGAAAGTCTCGTATGCTCCAGGCAATGGCTCCAGGGAACGAATCACAACCCCCTCCACCAAGTAAGAAGCAGCCGCCGCCACCACCGCCACCGCCGCCGCCGCCGCCGCCGCCACCGCCGCCTCGTTCTCCCGCAGCTCGGGTCTCCGGGAGGAGCTCGGGCGTCGCGAGCCGAGGGCGGGGGGCGGCGGGAGGGCGGATGTAGGTGGCTGGGAGGGGGGTGTGGGCGGCGAGGCGGCGAGACCCTCTGCGCCCCTCCGGGAAGCACTTCCCGTGGCTCCGAACAGACCAGACACAAAGGGGGGAGTCGCCGCAGCTGCCAGTCTGCGGCGCTCCCGGTCACCGGAGTCGCCCCGCCTCCGCCGCCGCCTCCGCCTCCTCCTCAGTCTCCGGCTCTTCCCGGCCCCGTCTGTCTCGGGCCTGTGGTGCAGCGCGGGCGGCGGCGACAGCGGCGGCGGCGGCGGCGGCGGCGCGACCCAGCCCGCACTACGCCTGCGCGCTCGCGGCCCCGCCCGGCCCCGCCCCTCCCGCGCCGGCGGCGGCTGTGGGGGGGACGCGGCGGCGGCCCTCGCGGCGCGTCTCCTCCGAGTCGCGAGGTGCTGGGTGGAGCCGGCCACCCGCGACTGTCGGCGAGGGCCCTCCTGTGTCTGTCTCTGTCTCTCTCACACACACACACACACACACACACACGCACACACACACCCCTTCCCGTGCAGTCTCGGCTTGTGTTCGTGCGCTTAGACTCGAGAGAGGATAACAGCGTCTTTTGTCCGGCCTTGGGCCACCTCCTCGGAGTTTCCTGAGCGAGGCGTCGCCGTGCCCTCTCGGACCCTTGAAGGAAAACCTCGAGGCACAGGACGGTTCCCCGTGGTTCCGAGGGGCCCGGGCCTGCCTCTTCCTTTCCGTCAGTCACCTCTAGAACCCAGACGGACCCGCCTTTCCCAGAACCGGAAACCTCGGCCTCCTGGGGCTTCCCACCCGCACTCAAACAAAAGCCGGGAATGGCACCGACCCCCCGCCCCGGTGACTAGATCGTGTTCGGCTCTTATCGGCTTCGATCTTTCCTCCGGCACCCAGGCCTGACGCCTTGCTTGGCTGGCCGGAACGCTGGAGCTTTGGAGAAGGAAACGGAGCCCGAAAGCAAACAACAGTCTGTCCTCCCCCCTCGGCCGCCGTGTGTGGCCGGCTCTGCCCGCGGTTCCACTTGGAGGGTGGGTCCTGATCCACAAAGTCTGGGGGTCTTCCTCGGGTCTTGGGGAAGGAGATCGAGGCGCTGGGCGACTGTCTAGGGGGCCGAGAGACTTCACCCCCTCCTCCAGAAAACTCGACGACCCGCCTAAGCAGCTGCAAAGGACTGTCCGTCGGGTTGGGTTAATTACAAAAGAAAACAAAAAACAAAACAAAACAAAAAACCCTTAGCTACCGCGGTGGAGGAAGGCGGTCCTCCACGCAGCCTTTCTAACACTACACAGTCCTGGTCTGGGGAAAACAGGGAGAGAGGGTGGCGTGTGTGACACCACGATCGGAAGTCGGGGTTCGCGGCGCGGCGGCGACGTGGAAAATGTGCGTGGGCGGGAGATGCGCGCGGTGAAGTCTAGCCTCCCCCTTCTGCGGAGCGGGAGGCCGAGTCTGCAGGCTGGTTTGGCAGGTCTGGCGCCGAGACTAAAGGCAGTTTCAGAGATAGGTTCGGAGATACACTCCTGAAGTCATTCGCTGCTTACTCAAGTCCCCCTTTATCTCTTTAAGTAAACGATGGGAATAATCCTCACATTCCTTCAAATGGTTACTGTTATCATACGAAGTATCTTCCATAATTAAAGGTTGTGGTAATTCCAGTCTAGGAGTCTTAACACTCTCTTAATGGAAATATTTTTTTATACTGCTTACCCTCAGGCAGAATTTTTTCTATATAGTAAAATTCCTTTATTTAAAAAAAAAGGTCATAGCTTTATTAGTATACAGTATTTTGTTTTGCCCCAAAGGCCTAAAATAAGAAACCGGTATTGTTTTGCTGTTTGACTATCAAAAAAAGAAATCTAGCACTGAATTTTTAGTCTCAGGATTTTAGTATGTTAGAGTTGCAGAAAGTGTATTGGTTGACAGTAGGATCGGTTGTTACTGTTTTTACTAAAATTTAATAAATGTCAGTAAAATTTTTCCTAAGAAATAAATATCATAACTCATATAGAAAAGAAGATCCTAATAAATGCAAATGAAAGATATGCCACTAACTTGAAATAATTAGTAGACAACAGGACAGACAATCCTTTTCTGTTGCTCCTTGTAATATCTCAGTGAGGACTTGGCAGTTCCCGAGACAATGAGATAGAACATCAGAGAAGAGCTAGAATCTAGCACTTGGGCCTCTAAAACAATTGGTTATTTGTCCTCTAAGATAGAACAACACAAGTCAACTTCATGTGAAAACAAAGGATTGACTAGGCAGGCAAATCTCAGTATCTGAAATACTCAGGTTAGGATAGGTTGTAACAAAAATCTCAGGAACTTATTAAACAAAGGTTTATTTCTCACATGATACAAAGAGAGATGTTACATGTTTGATACAAGGCATCCAAGAGCCTTTCACCAATGGGATTCTTGTAGCAACAGAGCACAGGGGAGATTCTGGTGGAGAACTCTCAAAAGAAATCAAGAACTGCCTTGAGCTGCAACACAGTTGCAACTGAGGCTCCAATCAGTTCTGTTGGGAGCCGGCTTTCCTCCAGCACTGTCCTAAATTTAAGCAGAAACGAAACCTTTATACCAATCATTGGGTACTAGAGAAGAAAGAGGGCTCAGACCCTCGACTTGGAAGCCCATCTCAAGCGCTGGAGGAAAGGGTATCTAGGATGGAGAAAAAAGCACTAAGTAAATGATGGTTGGAGGGGTCTCTTGGGATAGTAGATGGGTGCTGAAAATAGACTATGGACCAAACATGATGGCTACTTGATACCATAACACCCAAAAGAACAGAGAGAGTAAGAGGGAATGTGACTGCCACAGAGACGGGGGTGGTAAAGGTTGGGGATGAGGGGAGGGGTACTGGGAACATTGGTGATGGAGAATGGGCACTGGTGGAGGGATGGGTACTTGAACATTGTTTGACTGGAACGCAATCACGAAAGTTTGTAAGTCTGTAACTACATCTCATGGTGATTCATTAAAATAAAATAAATAATAAAAAAAGAAAGAGGGTTCAAAGAGGCGCCCAGTTAAAGCAGTAAAACACCAGTATTCCCAGCATTTAGGAAATAGACAATTTTGATTCTAAAGGATGGATCTGAGTAAGTCTTTGTACTAGGATTTAAATCCAGGGCCTCATACATATGAAGTATGCACTCTGACAATGAGCTACATCCTGGTGATTAATTCTTAATTAATTATGGTTTTATTCTAGCCATTAAAATACTTTCAGGCAGAAGCAATGTGCATCATGTCTACTCATTTTATTGACCAAAGAAGTCACTTGACCAAGCTTATCTTCAAGAGAGCAAAGAAATATAAGCTTACCTTATTGTTAGAAGGGAGAAAACATAAAATATTGTGATCTACCCTGGTGACTTTCATGGTATCCAAAATCAATATAATCTCCAATACCCTAGCACTAGCACTAGCACTATCCTCCCATTGTTCATCGATTTGATTGAGCGGACCCAGTAACGTCTCCATTGTGAGACTTGTTACTGTGTTTGGCATATCAAATATGTGAGTCACGAGTAGCTTGGGTAGCTTGCCAGGCTTTGCCATGCGGGCAAGATACTCTTGGTAGCTTGCCGGGCTCTCCAATACCCTAAATCACCAAAAATAGAAGAGGAGGATCACCTACTAATTTATGGTAAAGATTTGGATGGTTAGAGGCCAGAGCAATAGTACAGCAGGTAAGGCACTTTCCTTGCATGTGAACAACTCGATTCAATTCCCAGCACCCCTATGGTCCCCCAAGCCCATCAAGAATGATCCCTGTATGATCCCAGAATTAAGAGTAAGCCCTGAGCACTACGAGTGTGACCCCCCCCCCAAAAATGAAGACCTGGGGGTTAAGGAATCAGGAAATTAGGGAAGCAATATAGAATTTTGGTGACAAAAAATTAGAGAGAGAGAGAGAGAGAGGAGAGAGATGCCTCCCACAGGGGCAGGTGAGATGGGGGAGAGGGAAACAGATAACATTGGTGTGGGGGGAGCTGGTGAAGGTATTGGTGTTGGAATATTAAATGAAACCCGATCATGAACAACTTTGTAACGTGTATCTCACTCTGATTCAATTTTTTTAAAAATTTTTAAAGAATTTTGATTTCGGACAAATCAAAACATCTACAAAGTTGATTTTAGGTGCTAGGGATAGAACCCAGGGTCTATGTGAAATGTGTACTTTGACAGATTGTATATTTCTTCTTAGGTAGAAAAGACTTAGAAAAGCAAGGCCCTGGGGCTGGAATGATAGCACAGCGGGTAGGGCATTTGCCTTGCACGCAGCCAACATGACCGGCACAGGTTCGATTCCCAGCACCCCATATGGTCCCCTGAGCACCGCCAGGAGCAATTCCTGAGTGCATGAGCCAGGAGTAACCCCTGAGCATCGCCGGGTGTGACCCAAAAAAAGAAAAAAAA